ATATCTCTAACACCTCAAGAATATCTGAAAGGTGAAGTTTAGAATCCGAAACGCTGTTGAGAGTGGAGCAGGTAAGTAAAGCTTATATTTCACAAAATGGAACATGGGTTGATTCTCCTCAAGCAGATAGGTGTACTACGTTATAACTTCGAATGTTTTTCGATTCATACGCACAAGGATTGGACTACATATTTAACCTATGCCAAGCTACTGGACAGGGCACAGCATACTATAATAACGCACGAGACTCAACCATGGTTTCCGAACAGTCTTGTATCCAAATCCCACTGACCGTGACAGGTAGTCAATTATGTCTTTTTGTATTTATATATTCAGATATTTATGTACTGCTTTATGATGACATGATAAGCGTTACTGAATATACCTAGGCCTAATTTCGTGAACTTACCAGGAAGTGTACCGTGGATCGGTGGATCGAAAAAATAAGCAAATGAAAATTTAAGACTTCAAGACCATAGTTGCGCGGTCTAGCCCTCTATAGAAGTTCACCTTCATAACCCGAGGAATCCATAAATAAATTCCAGCAATGGTCAGCGGTCAAAAGAGCACCACTTCTAAGACATTCCTGTTCCATAATTCCTTTCCGAACTTCCTTAATGTGCCTTTCGATTAAGAATTAAAATGTCTGATCTGCCCAAGAATTTAGTACCAGCATTAATTGACGGCACAGTAGTACCTCCGAGGTGATTGGAAGTCGATAAGATATCCCAAAGAGAGCGAAAAATGGAATATCAACGTCGTTATCAAGTTTACTAAGCTGGATAACTGTTCGCCTTCCGTGGAACAGTTCGGTTGGTAATGAAGTCTGGCGTGTTGAATCGTCGCAATATTTTTTAAAGGTTCAACTGAAAGGATCAGGTTCCAATGTTCGAGAGTGAAACGCAAAGCAGATAACACTGGAATCCATAAGTACCTCCACAGAAAACTCCTATTCTTCTCCAGCAAATTGTCGGGATCCCAGTTAGCAGTGTAGACAATAGGCATTGGAATCGTCTTGCTCTCTTCAAGAGTTCGCTACTTTGAGTGTAAGGAGATTCAGTAAGTAGTAAACCACATCGCTGAGTAGAGGTATCGCTATTACTTAGAGGCCAAGGGTCGGCCTTTACGTCGGACTCTATTCTTGGGATAACAGAGGTGCGACTTAAATTAAAAAAATGGCAATGTTGGTCACTGGGCCGCTGACAGCATCCGGACAGGTAAGGGCATTGACCAATTTGTCTATTATGGATTACAGATGTACTTCATTGAAACAACCGGCCGCCACTCAAATACTACATCAACGTTGGTTCTCAATTTTCCGGTGACTCCGCATCACATCAAGCAACTTTTTCTGCTTGGGTATACCGTGAGAAGGCCTACCAGCTAAATTGAAGCATCCATGAGTCAAGTATCAGTCTGGAGACATTGAAATGAGCCATGGATAAAGTAGGGGGTCCGCTGGTGTCCATAAATTGGAGAAGGTATTTTCGGCCTTCCACTAGTACCTAAAGCTCGGTGATTGATTTGGACTTCGCTTTCAGGCGCGTTTATAGGCATACTTTATCCCGGCCTATTATTCAGCATGAGTCTCGGGTTTGTTATTTTCTGGACGATGAATCCACATGCAAACACAACGGGCTGAATTAACAGGGTAAGGCAAGTTTACAGTATCCACTGAAATACTTATGTGTCATTGAAACACCATGCCTGGCTGGACATCCCTACTATCATTGGGAGCTTCTACGAAGCCTGATTCATACGTGACCTTCCCTAAACTTATCAGCAGGTGTTCCAGATCGTTGTACTATTAGATAAGACGCTTCGATACATCGTACGATCAATAGCAGTTGAAAGGAAAGAGGTTGGATATTGAGGATGAGATATGAGATGTAGAGCTGAGTCAGGTGACGTAGTCGACGAAAGCTAAGCTCGACGGAAGCATTCCATATTAGACTCCGTGCCTTCTCGCTGCACTTTACTGCCGGTACTCGTCCATTCGCCTTCTTGCATCTTCCCTCATTTTAAATCCACATTGAAACATGACTCAATTTCTAATTAAGATTTAGAGAACTTATTCTCCTGTAGTCCGCGTGGGTGTAACGGTTAGGTTGTTACCCGAGTACGTGACTCATTCAAGCTCCGAGTCACGCCGCAGCAAGCTACCCGATTACGGCCGTTTCTCTACGTACTATAATTCACGGATTTACTCGTGCTTTATTATATTGTTGTTTCACTCTTCATGTATATAAAGAGTTGGATTTAATAGCTAGTTTCCTCGCGTAGTCAACACCTATCCACTTGTACTTACACTCCGCTATATACTTTCTCCCACGATCGTGGTCATTCCGCATTTGGGTCGTATCATCTCCGCGTCCCTTACAGTGGGGCCGTATGTATTGGTACTGCCAGGTGCGATGGGAACTTGATCCTCATTAAATTGAACAGCTCTGAATTATGCATCATGCATGCAAGCTTTTTATTACCTGAATGGCAATACAGCCTGTTATGGCTGTCCCGTACATAGGTCTCTTTCTCTGCTTAAGGTGAGGAGTTACTTTTCAGTTATTCAAATACAGACTCTAATCCATCTTAAAGGGAAGAAAACTTGAAACGAAACGGCCCTAGTAGCATGATTCCAGACATTCCTGTTCAATTGGCAGGTGGCTTTATCACCTTTTATCATCTACTACTGTTGAGCGCTAAGTGGGCACAGAAAGCACTTTCATTCAAAATCCTCATTGGCACTCATTACCTTCTTGATTGATTCTATATATTTGAGAATAGATGTTGGCATGCAGTACTGATGTGAACTGATGCATTGCTTAAATATCCAGGTTAGTAACAACTCAGGTCACTCAGACTCTTCTTCGTCTTATCCTTTTCTCAAAGAATCGCTGGTGAACTCATCTCAGATGAATCAGGACTTATTATTATCTGATGCGTAAGTACTTCGGGAATATCTCGCACACTGTGCGCAACTCACCACATGGTTCCAGCCGGTCATCCATTTATGCCATTGCCTCAGCCCTCGGTGTGTACTCTTTTCAATATTAGATCCGACATTGTGAATATTCGTATCTATTTCCTCTAGCTCTTCTCGTTTTCGATACCTCTCTGACGTTTGCCGACGAAGTCAAGTACATATGGGGACGGGAACTACGCTTGGGAGCTCTCCTTTATCTTCTGGCTCGTTATTTTGGGATTTTAACTTGGATAATGAACTTTGGATTATTACAAAGTGCATTCTTAAATGCCAGTGGTGCGCGTTCACTCACTATAAGGGTACGTGACAGTACTAGACTGCCGATTTTGTATTCATGAGTCTTTTACTCGGCAGTATCTGTTACATTATTTGATCTGCCCGCATGGAAAATACTTAACAACACATTGATAGAGTATGCACTTCTTTGTATACCACTGCAGAAATATCGCAGTTATTTGCAGAACTAGGAATATACGGTAACGACTCTGGTTCCTCTACTTCCGAACCCTTCGGCTCAACTACTGTAACACATAGGGATACTCTTGGCTCGAGTATTTGCGTTATGTCCAAATAATGTTAGATTAAAATGGTTGCTATGGTCGGTCTTTATCATCAGCCGTGTACTAGATGTGGTAGGGATACTCGTTTCGTTGAACCTCACTTGATTTGGATTGAATTATCATCAGGCACTTATTTCAGCATCGCCATGCGGCAATATCAATATTTCCGCGAATTTGAGTACCTCTTTGTAAGATACACCATCGTATTCACCGTAAATCAGTACTGATTCCAATATATCTAGAGGTATGGCAGGATTTAGCATCTTCTCAATCTACTACATGCACAAGACTAATTTGTCTTCCGAAAGAATCCGCTAGCAATGCTATTGGTTTGCTATTCAATACTTTGATTTTAGCCATTACTGTACACCACATGTGGCGGTCAAAAAGGTCACTTATGAAGAACAAGGTTGGGTGCACGCGGAGGACTCCAATAGAGCTCATATTTCAGCAAGGTAAGTACCTTCTAATCTTGGCTTCTTATTGTTAAAAAAGCCATATTGTCAGGAATAATTCAATATCTGTGAGAATAATGACATACTCTACTATTTGGGACTGAAAAATTGCTAAATATTTCTTTCTACGAATTCAGCATCATCTTTTCGTGGCTATTAGCAAATCTCATCGTACACAATGTACTGTTATCTCCTTTGGAAATTTCTTTTTCACAACTAATCTGAAATCTGATACCCTTAGCTTAAAGTTATTAGAGTACGTCTACATCCAGCCATTCGACTTCATTAATCCCTGGATGACAAAAATAGCCCTCGATAACTGGCGTGGATGTCGGATTGCAAAACGCGTATGTTCGATCTATTTGTCCATTCCTGAAGCCTAAACGTCGAACTGCCTTTTACAAACTAGGATACAGGTCATCCTCCTATGCCGTTTTCATCTGCAACTTCTCACATGGAATAATTCTCCTAGTCGAAGTGAGGTCAGCCAAATAGTACGGCGCGGGATCTTGCCATTGCAGACCATTCGCTTTTACACACGGCGTATAGAAGAAAGCATCATTCAAGAATTCGGTGACCATCCGAGAGATCAGCAGCTCACAGAGAGGACTAGTGGCCCAGGGTCTATCCTTCCAGGTGGACGATAGATACGTAGCACCTCAAGAATGTTTCGAAGAAGGGTTTAGTGTCCACCTAATTTGTGAACATAGTGACAGGTGAGTGTACTCAAATAGCAAGACTTATACAGACTTACATTCTTGTTTACAAAGTAGAGCTGTGGACGGATTTTGCTCAAGCAGAGCGGTTGTTTGGGTACGTTCACAGCTAAATAATACCCTGGCATATTCCCTGAAACATCTGAATCTATAGTTATAATATTTAGTACCATCCGAACTTGGATGGACAGAGCACAGTATATACCCACGAGACTGTTGTAGTCGATTCTGCTAGTGTATTGACCTATTTATAAAGTTGATCTGTCGTGAAAAAAGATCAAAACAACTGCCTCAGAGAGGCTCGAACTCCCGACCTTGCGATTTGTTGTCAAGCCCCGAAATCAAGGAATGTATAACAGTCGGACGTTATAGCCAACTAAACCATGGCGCACATACCAGAAACGGAAAACGGTACAATCCGAACCATTTTAACTAACTACCGACATCAGGATGAAATATTGGGAATTTGGTCGTAGGACCCGAGCTGGCACTGGAAGAATGAAGCATGGTTGTAGACGCAGTCGGCGCGGGAATCAGAGGGGCTGCCCGCGGGACGTGCCGAGCCTCTGGGCTGGAAACGGTAGTCTGGCGGTTTGATGGGGAAATTGTCTCTCCTTCTATTTCCATAACCATAGCTGCTAGATGATTCTAAATATTATTCAAGGGCTATCAGACCCATACAGAAATAATTATCTTATATTGCTCTACTCAGATGTCGTTTTATAATATTAATTTTCCGGCGTGAGTAATGTCACGACCAGTGTCAGCTCCTCAAGACATACATACGTTCTTTTGGAATCGATCACCCTTCACAGCCTGATTTCATTATTGATATAGTTAACATCGAATTGTGGCACGTTATGCCGCAATATGTATTACCTTGTGAATATCCAATGGCTCCCTTTTTATCAATGCTCATATATACCGTCACCGTCTAACACACCTACTACTTTTCCTAGTCTAGGCAGCAACGAACCCAGTTAATAAATTATGAAGGAAAGTGATCTGTGAGATATATAACGTATAGCTACTAGTGTGAAACGAAATGATGAATGAGGATGTGACAGAAATAGAAGATTGAATTCCAAATAGCAATGAGACAAGTGTAAATGCACAGCGAAAGCAACCAAGTAAAAAGAGACCGAGAAAATGCCATGTATGTATCAGTTACATTATTGCAGAGATATGTTGAACGGAAATCGAGAACCGTGACGGATGATGAAGAAGTGGAATTGGAAACAAAACACGGGACCATGAAACGGATGTACAATTCAATCTTGAAAGTCAATCAATGAAAAGAGATGGAACGGAAGAGTGAGAAGAGGCCCAAACCGAGGCTCATTAAGTAAACAACATCGCCTTCAAACACTTCCTTCTATTCATCTTCGTCGCAACATCCACGCCCACGCCCATCCCGACCGCTTCAGACGCGGACCTCCTCTTCTCATGGTCATGCATCGACCCTGACCCCAACTTCGAAGGATACCTCGGACTCGTCGTCGCAAACGTAACATGTGGAGAAGGCGCCGGCGGCGACATCGATCCAGACCCAGGTCCCTCCTCTTCATGCTCTTCATCCTTCTCGGAAGACGAGCCATCCTCCTCGAGCATATCAAACCATCACTCTGCACACTACTCCTCCCTACCGTCGTCGCGCGCATCATAAAACCCCTCAAACTCCCCGCGGACAATTTCGACCTCTTCAGGCCGTCCATTCCGGACGACATAGACACACCATCTTCATCTACCCCAGCCATCTCAGGGATCTCCTCGTGTGCTGACTCCGCCGAATTCGACGTCGCAAGCATAAGCAACGGTCTCGGCCTCACAAGTTTTTCGCGGCCTCCTCCTGCACTCGACAACGCCCTCATCAGACTATTGCCGTAACTCATCTTCCCAGTCTGACTTGCATTCCCATTGATTGGGCTGATGTAATGATTGGTATTGGGGTGGTGGTTCGTATCTTCAGAGGTATTACTCGTCGCACTCTGTGATTGGGAGCTCCTTGTTACTACCGTTGCCGTTGTTGCCCTCAGGAGGGTATTTAACCCCAAGAAACATCACCTCTTCCTTCGCGACAGCATGTGCGCGGAGACGAAGATAACGTTCGTCTGCACATCCCCAAGATCCCTCTGGACCGAATCCCTCTCCGTCTGGAACTCCTCAACAGCACAGTCGATGTCCCAGCAGTTGTCGACTCGATTGGAAACGGGAACAACCTCTGCGCAGGATTCGATAACGAGCCCCGCCTTCTTGAGCCTGAGAGTCTTAAACCCAACCTTGAGGGAGACGAAGACCTCGAAGGTGGGTAGAACATTGGGGTGAAAGGTTCTAAAGGCTTGAGCGAACCCTTCGCCGCACGTATCCAGACGGAATTTTCAGCTTCAGATGCGGCTGCTAGTTCGTAGCGGTAGTCGACGGAGGAAAGGCGGACTGAATGTGGGACGATGGCCTTTTCAGGCAGGATATCAACCAGCTCAAATGACACAAGGGCAAACCATTGCTTGAGACGATACACTGGTCCTTTGCACACCTTCACCAAAAGGACATACCCGCCCACGAAAAGGAATGCACCGAAATACCTCACGTGCACCGTGGAGATAACTGGCTCGAGGATATGATGGTGGTGCACTACGTTCAATGAGCCCACGACGATACACGTCCCGAGACTGTGCAAGAACTCCACCGAAGAATCTACATACATAATCAATACCACCCTCCAAAAACGAAGATATAAGAAAAGAAAAACGCACATTATGCTCATGCAACCTCTCCAAAATCATATGAGTCTTCTCCTCCGCCTCCTTCCTCCTCCTCGCCTCTTCAACCCACCCCGCAACACCTTTCATACTCTCCACCGCCCTCTCCACAGGCCTATTTCCTTCCTAATCCTCTATACCACTGCCACCACCCCGTCACCTCTTCAACCCTTCAAGCATCATAGGATACTTACATATCCTCTGAATCGGCTTAATCAAATAATCCTGAAACCTCAGCCTCGCATACGCATACCCCTTACTCGAACTCGGCGGCGGCGACGAAGGGGCGAAAACGCCCCCACCGTTAGAGACCCTGAGCCTCCTATGACGCACGAGGCTGGAGTCGTAGGATTGGCTGCGGATGTTGGCGTGGAGGGCAAGGAATTCGCTTGTTGGCGAGAGGGAGGAGGAGAGGTTTTCGGTGAAGAATGAGGCGAGGCCGTAGGCGCGGGAGGTGGTGGGGACGAGGGAGAGGGTGCGGGGAACGCGGCAGCCTCCGGGGCTTGGGGGACGGAGTGTTTGGAGGGAAGGGTCGAGGACGGGATGGGGGGGGTGATATTGAGGAGGTGGGTGTGTCGGGAGACGCAGGGTAAAGGACAGCTTGTTGAGTGGTGCAGACGGGCACAGATATGCTCTAATGTCTCCCAGTCAAGACGAGCCTACGTCGGACGGAGAAGACGCAGGACATCAGGTTGCGCCGAGCAGAATTCTTGGTATAAATCATACGTTGGAGCCTGATAATGGCGCGACCTATTCAGACACATATTCAGACGCATACCAGTTATCACTCACCTCAACAATAAACAGCCTGGCTCCTAATAGCCTCTTCCACATCCCCTCGCTCTCCTGATCTGATTGCACAGCCGCCGCGCTAGCTTCCTGCAGCATACCCATAAACCTCTCATGCAGTCTCAACAGTGCCAAACCCGACCTCTCCAGCGCATTCACAGCCTCTAACGCCCGGTCAACAATCTGTATTGTCGGTAATACAACGAAATAAACCTGTGGATAAACCAAGATCAGTCAGATGGCTCATTGTAAACTCGAAGAGACGATGTGCCTGCCTGTGGCTCAGCCACAAGAGAGAAAGGAGATGGTGGGAGCGATGATGAGAATGATAACAGTAGGACGGGATATACGCACGTTGACCAAGGCATGTAGATCATGCACATAGCCTGCCTTGGTATGCACGATCTCCAGCGCATCCCACGGTTTCGATCCATTCCCGGTTAATGACTCATGATGGGTGTACTCATCCCGATCAGCAGCAGCACCGCGTTCGGATGGAAAGCGGTATATCCACAAAGTTGGCATCCTTGAGATTTGCATTCGGAGGGCTCGTCATACGTCTGCCTCTAGCCTACGCACACAATGCGTAGTCTCTGTTAGTCTCCCCTCCGACACTTTTCAGGCTCCGACACTATAGATGGTCAACTCTGATGAGCGCGACGAGGCGCGACAGTGGTTCGAGACTACATATTAGCTTCCGTGACTTCTCCGTGCTACGGTGACCGGGACGCGCCAGGTTTGAAAACGCCGATTTCATAAGCGTAGAAGAACTGCTCTTCATGCAGTTGTATGCCAAAGTATTTTTCATGAATGCGAAGTCTTATGTTCAAAATAGCAGGAAACGGTATAGAACTCCGCCGGCTACCCGGAACACGATTCGGCTCCCACACCCTGACTCACACGTGCCAGTGGGCAGCATGGTTGGCTATGCCCTCGAATGCCCTGTCCGTTCAGGCATCGAATTTCAAATTTAAGGGAGGAGGATGGCTAGGCTGCAAGAACAGCGTGCGCTTAACCCCGAGTTGATCGTAGTACATCCCAACAGGAAGATTTACTAATTCATAATAGTATGTGGCTCAACTGCGGAACAATAGTGTTTATACAAGGGTTACCGGAATCACCCGCAAGAATTTCTGATAAGCTCATGATAATGGACTCGATGCAAGAAGAGATTTTACGAGCGTCCTACTACCCAGGCCTGCTTAAATTCGAACCTAAGTGCCTTGGACCTTGACCCTGCCAGTGCTGGTGATGAGCAGAGCACCCATCTTGCAGCCTTATTGGCCTCTACGACGCTTGCGCCCAGTATTGTATACTCCGCTGCATCAATCGATATTTGTATGGATATTTAGGATTCACGACATGATGTGATGGTGGTGGGTTATATAAGTCAAAGCAGGAGCATATATCTGGAATAGTTGAACTAAAAATCCCCAAACTCGTTGTCAACCGGCCCACCCCTGAAGTTCAACCCCATAACCTGAAGTCTTGATAAAATCTATCAATGGCTGGAAGGGCTCCCTTTCTTCTTTAGACCAGCCCTTCCAAGCACTTAGGAATGCTACGCAGAGCTTATCGGGACTCTCAGTAAAGATAGTCTCATCGATTAAAAATCCAAAGACTTGGCGCCTCATCCGGCACCCTTCCCCGGCAGCTTTGAACGACGCAAAAGTAGACTGCAAGACCTCAGTGCGAAGTGAACACCATCGGTTTTCTGCTTCATCTGTTTAACAGAAATTCCTGATATGGTCATCTTTGAAAACGATAAACCACAGTGGCAATACGTAAGTGGATTGCCAATCGACAACTCCAACTATACGAGAGGGGTCATCGTATGCCACCA